TATGAATTCTGAGAGAGTTATCAAAATGTTTAAAACAAATACTAATTTATTAAAAATTTGTGTAACGATTATAACAACAAATATCATATAAAAATTTTTAATTGCAATTGTATTTTATTTTGTTTAGTATTCTAAATTTTATTGCAAATTTTAACATGATCAATTTTAACGTAAGAAATACTATCAAAAATACTAAACATCAGATCTCAAACAATATAAAAATTTAGAAACTAATTGTAAACATATTTATAAAAATAGATTAACATTTATTAGGGAATTGATTGCAACGTTAAGGACAATTGAATTGAGTGAACAATTAGAAGAGTCCGTCGATAACCTCTGTTTCGGGATCGATATCGATGTCATAAAATGCAGGTCTAGTCGGAAGTCCCGGCATTGTTGTGATCTAATTGACAATAAACGTCATTCAATGGTTTAATTATACAAAAGGCAAACCTCAGCGGCTAATGGGTAGAGAAATCCGGCGCCGATTGACGCTCTGATATCAGTGATAGGAAACGTGAAATCCTTTGGAACTCCTGGTGTTTATCACAAATATTTATTTTTAATTTAAATTATCAGTCGTTGAAAATGCAAACCTTTTAGATTTGGATCGTGGCTGAAGGACAGGTGTGTTTTGGCCACACAAACCGGTAGATTACCAAAACCAAGCGATTCGTACAGCTATTTGTAATAACAATATTTTATTTAAAAATAGTTTTGTTAAAAATTAAGGTAAAATTACTTCAATTTTGCTTTTTGCGAGTGGACTGAATTCCACTCCATTCGCACCGTATATCTTACGGGCAATGCTTTCAATCTTTTTCTGTCCAAAACAATCAAAATATATTATTTGAAAATTTGTTTGAATACAAACACTGGTAAACATTTCTTACTTCAATTGAATCGTTCAAATCATAAGTAAATTTAGTGTTGGAAGTGTTGCCGCTTTCACTCGCTTTGATGACAGCATTGGCCAAATCAATGGCTCCGTCGCCTCCGAGTGCCCAATGATCAGCAATACAGGCGTCAAAAGCGCCGCTTTCTTTGCAAACTTTTTTCACAAGTTCTAACTCTTTGTCAGAATCGGTGGCAAATTTATTAACGGCCACAACAACTGGGAAACCATACTCTTTAGTGATCACATTGATGTGTGCCTTCAGGTTGGATAAGCCTTTCTCTAAGAGCTCCAAATTCTAGCAAATTATAATACATTTCAGTTTAAAAATAGTAAATATTTCAAAATACGACACAAACCTCTTCTCTATACTCTTTAGGAATAGTGGCTCCGGGCGTGACATTAGGTCCTCCGCCGTGCATCTTAAGGGCCCGAACAGTGGCCACCAAAACAGCACAATCAGGGAATATGCCTTTCAAACAGTTAGTATTTAGTATTATTAGC